TTAAATATTTCTTAGTTTACGGAAATATTTGCATAGTCTCTTTTTTTCAAGTTGTGTTTTCTGCAGATCAGTTTCATTTGTTGTGAGACGTTAGTGTTGCATACATTGTTAGGTTAGAAAGAAAAGAGGGGGAAAGAAGGGGAGAGGGAATAGTGAGTGGGGTGGGGTGGGGTGTCAATGCTTCTATTCTTCTGCTTAGTGTATGTGCGGGGTTTTGTGTCAGTGTCACTTGTGTGGGTTCTCTTATTTGTTGTATTTCCTTGGTGGTTGGGGGGTGGCCTAGGGTGTGGTTGGTTGTCTTTGATTGGCTGTAGTGAGATTTGTTTTTGTGTGAGAGTGGTGTGTGTGTGTTCGGATCAGGTTAGTCATATTGATTCCTATGCTGTCGGCGGATTCTTGTTGTGGTCTTGTGGGGCCATGTATGTGATAAAGGGGAACCATACTGGGATGAAGGCATCTTCTTCTATTTGTCCCCATGCCACTTTCAGTTTAAAGGCATTGTTATGCTAAAAAGAGCCAGTGCTCCTAAGGCTTTACATTCTCACTCAATGTGTTTCACTGCTTTTTTTTGAGGGGGGGGAATACAACTAAATTATGTTTTCTTTAAGAAGAAAACATGAACTTCAAATAAAGAGGTGCATTTGTACAAGGAATCATTTTGTTTTTGTCCTCAATATAATATCCATAAGTGTTTACCTTTTCTGTGTGAAAGCATTTCTCAGAACAGTGAATTTACTGGGTATATTCAAGTCCACTGATCTGCTACACGTTACTATGGTAAATATCCTAATTACTAATTATTAAGGTACCGGAACAGAGGCAGAAGTACATTGTTAGAGAATTTTTATGAAATGGCTCTTCTATAAGTAAACAAGCATGTTGTGTTGCCTTGTTGGCATGGAAGCACTTCCATTTATGCAGTGCTGCCATGAGTCAGTGTCTCTGCAAAGTCAATTTGTCTTCCACAAACAAATAAAAGAGAAGGAAGGAGCTAAGGGGAAGATATTGCAGTGTTTTCCATACATATTATTGACCTTTGGAGTCAATACTTGCCCCAGAGATGGCACTAGATAATGGATGTCAACTATTGTGCAAAGAGAAATGCGGGGCTATGCTGGATATTTGCCAGAAAAAGCTATTTTGCTATTGTAGGTTTTCCTAGAAAACATTCCAGTTGTGTGTGACTAATCACTTTTTCATCAGTACAGTTCCCCTAGTTGATGCTTTCCTGTCTCCTGAATTGAGTCAAATCGGGGAAGCCAACCACACAGGGTTCACATCATGAACAGAAAGATCCCAGGAGGCCATGTCTAATGTGCAGACATCAGCAAATAAAATCTCATCAGTTGACACAATGAATTAAATTTATCTGCACGATGACATCACTCAGAGGAAGAGAGGGCAACTGAGAGAAAGTTTTGTTTCATAGCACATATTTTTATGAAGTGTGCTGAAAAGGGAAGGTGCTTTTGGCAAAACAAGTTTATGAAAAGTAATTCCGGATCATGTTTGTTGCAGATCATGTGTTTTGATTTATACTTGACCCAAGTTTTCTCTGTAATATAATAGATGCATAATTGTTGATATTCTTCATAGTTCACTTAAGAAACATGGAGAAAGTGATGGTTCTTTAAAATTATCAACGTCTGATCTTGAAAAACTCTGCCAATGAGGAAGATACTTGAAGGGGGATAAATATCCCTTTTATAGATATGAGCTTCCCATAACCTAAAGTTGCAATCGGATAATCAGTGAGGTTTCTGAGTAGACATAGATAAGATTGCACTAATGATTCAATGAAGTCACAGGGTGTAATTAAAATGCCAGGATCGTTAACCAATAAATGGTAATAGGAAGGGGGGAATCTACATTGTGAAGAGACATTGTTGATTAAATGGTCCTTACATAAAATTAATGTCATTTTCTTGCACAGAGCTCATAAACCTGTATGTGAAAGCTCTGCATTGAAGAGCAGGGGCAAATGAGTTCAAATTCAAATTAGTACTGGGGTTCTACTAGATGTCCTCATTAAGGATTCTAAGAATAATGTGTTTCATTTCCATAATCAAATCTTTATGGGAATTTCCAGATGAGGTCTGATTTGCCATGAGGTAAATTAAAATCTTGGTGCAGAAATCTTTGAAGTGTCACACTGTCTACAAGGTCTTGTCTGTTACAGAGACTCTGCATATTTCATGCCCTACATATTTCTGGCAATGATGAAGCCAACTTTCCAATGCAATCACTTCCTTACCCCTCCCCATTTTTTGCATTCCCTCCTATTCTTCAAGAGATTATAAGACTTTTCTATTTGCATTAAGGTATACTACTGCAAGAAGACTTTTGAAGAAAACTTATTCATGTAACGGGAAGTTCTCAGGAATAAGAATATAAAGAGTTAGATGACTGGAATATGTAGGAGGAAATTTTTTTGGAGGAATTCATTAGCTTCAAGTTTTTACTGGCCCCTGGGTAGCAGACTGTCAGTGAACTGCCTTGTTCCATTTTTCTCTCTCTAGACTTGTGAGGAAAACACCACTGAGACAATGTATGAAAAGCTTTCCCTACCCACCTCCAGGGGAGAAAAGGGTTCTGTGGTAGTTTCTTCTAGGCAACATTTGTGAATTGCAGTATTTATAAAGTCTATATTGCACAAAAGATTCATGGTGCTGGATTAGATGAGGGATCACAGTCCCATGCGCATGCTGGTGGAAGAGATCGCAGTGGGGGTTGATGGTTGGAAACTCTTGACCCAGCCAAATGCCTCTCACCCTACTGGTGTTATATGCAAGAAGATACAGTTCTGAAAGGCTCTCATCAAAAAGTTGGGTAGAACACTTATACTGGGCCTTTTAATGATACCAAGAGGAACATGTTGTATTAGAGAATGTATGATGGCACTTTCGCTGGCCAATCCTGTGCATGCCTGGTTAATAAACAGAGGGATGGTTCACATAATATGTGATGATACAGGCATGGCGGCGACCAGAGGGAGGGCCCTTCTTGTGATGCCAACCTTTCTATGGAATCTCCCCTTTCAGCTTAGGCAAGCGTCAACATTAGTGGTGTTGTACTGCTTATTCAAAATGTATTTATCCTTCCAGGCTTGATTCCAGTAGGGTTGGTTGCAATTTTACCCTGCTCTGGGTTATCAAATGCATTTTATTGGTATTTTAATATTTGATGTTTATAGTTTAGAATTGGTTGTATACCATCTTGAAACTCAATGTGAGAGGTGGAATAAAAATGATTTTTTAAAATAAAAAAGTATCATGATTACAACCTGTATGGGTCGGGTTTATGTGAGATCTCTCATACCCTGGTTAGGGTGCATTCATAAACCATGCTAGTTGAAAGGATTTGAATTAAGGATTTTTCCTGGTGAGTTCAACTTGGCCCTAACTTCTTGCACAAAGCTAATACTGTATACTAATGGGACATGGATCTGTATATTCAAGAGTTTTTCCTTGACTGACCCTGGAGATTGCAGCAGGGCATATAGAAAAGAGTTGGCTTAATATGGCAAAGCCAGCATCACACTAGAACACCATATAACTGGGTCACTGAAAAGCAGATCTAGCTGCTGCAATAATGTGAGAAGGACTTTGCCAGCCACATTGGCTGGACATGCAGATCAGACCGAATTCTATATGGGGTTAAAAATAAGAGTTAGTATCACATTGCTAAAATAGTACTGAACTGGCAGATGGGGAGCTTAAGGGGGGAAAGGAGATAATCATTTGCTGGCTGCTGGGCCACTGGTGACAGTTGATTAGGAGAGCTCTGGAGCTAATGCAAATTGTTACACATCCCCGGGACAGCCAGAAATCAAATGGAGCTATTAGCTAAATTGAGCATTACATGGAGTGGTCTGAACGTTTTCTGGGCACACTTTGTATGTTGGGAACAGTTGGGGGCAGAGGGATGGGATACGAGAGGCAGCTTAGCTCATCCTAAAGGAGAGAAAACTGCACTTCGTGGAGAGGAATACATACACCATATATAAGTGAGAACACTGGAGAGGGTGTTAATAACATTATTCACCAACACAGAGTGTGGATATCTAAATCTCAGCATGACCTTCTGTACACATGGTGAAGATACGGGATCTTTCCAGGCAGTTTCTATGCTTAAATGTTGGGTCTGATTTCTTAGTTCCCTTCTTTCCTTAACATGAAATTCAATGCCAGAGAATGGTGCCAGATTAATGGCCCTAGAGGTATAAATTCTTCTCTTCTCTTCACAGAGAGCAGTCATAAAGATCAAGGGCAGCTCAATTTTCTCCAACAACATCCTGCTAATGTTCCACTGTGAGCTGCTATAGATGATCACAAAAGAGAAGGCAGCATACTCCACCTACCTATTTAGGCTATTGCTTCTGAAGTGAAAATAGAATCAAGTGCTGAGTTGCCAAATCTGAAAGGCCAGCACAGATCCTATGCTGCACCTTCATAGTCTTCTGTTCAATGGACACGGTTCAAACTTTCATCAACTACGTAGTAATCAAGACAGATGTGGTGGGGCAGAGCTCTATCCAGAGACAAGTGTTGTTGCAGCTTATCTGGACTGGGCTGGGGCAGAGCAGGATGGTGGTGAGGTCAGGGCTTCCCAGACACACCAGCAAGACCCATCCACTCAGCCCCATCCTGCCCCAATCCGTCCAGATAAGATGCAGTGGTACAAGTGTCAGGAGTGGGCTCTGTGGTTCCATCCAGATTCTGCCCTTAATTCCTCCACTGGTTCCTTTATGGGCTCCAACCCCCACTCGATTGTGTTACTTCAGGAATTGCCAGCCACAAATGCCTACTATGCAGAAGTCAACTAAAAGAAGAAGAGTTTGGATTTGATATCCCACTTTATCACTACCCTAAGGAGTCTCAAAGTGGCTCAGTGTGGTGTAGTGGTTAAGAGCGGTAGTCTCGTAATCTGGGGAACCGGGTTCGCGTCTCCGCTCCTCCACATGCAGCTGCTGGGTGACCTTGGGCCAGTCACACTTCTTTGAAGTCTCTCAGCCCCACTCACCTCACAGAGTGTTTGTTGTGGGGGAGGAAGGGAAAGGAGAATGTTAGCCACTTTGAGACTCCTTAAAGGGAGTGAAAGGCGGGATATCAAATCGAAACTCTTCTTCTTCTTCTAACATTCTCCTTTCCCTTCCTCCTGCACAACAAACACTCTGTGAGGTGAGTGAGGCTGAGAGACTTCAGAGAAGTGTGACTAGCCCAAGGTCACCCAGCAGCTGCATGTGGAGGAAAGGGGAAGCGAACCTGGTTCACCAGATTACGAGACTACCGCTCTTAACCACTACACCACCTAAAACATATAAAGCAACTTCAACAGCTCACTGGAGATAAAATAAAGACAAGACAACAGCCAACACATCCTTCCCTCCTAATGTCAATCCCCCCTTAACCCACAGGCACAGTGTAAAAAAGTAATAAGAAATAAGAAAGTGGGGGGACGCCCCGAGAAGCATGGAGTGGTACATACAAGGTGAAAAGATGATAAGGTGGCAATAGCAAGTTACCCCTCTACATTTGCATCAGAACAACTCCATGCAATTGTTCATATAATTCCTGCTTCTTCCCCCCTCCCCGCTCAATATGGCGTCACTTCCTGTTTTTATGAAAGCAAGATCTGGGTCACTTGAATGCTCCTGAGAAAGTCCTTCAGCATTTCTCCGCTCCTCATTTGGTCAGTCTCCCATAAATAAAGTGGTGGGTGGGAGACTGAAGGGGGTGGGGCCTGTTCAAGAGGACAGTGTGGTTGCTTGGTTCAGGCTTGCTTCATTTACCTGCTGACTCAGTGTCCTTAGTCTGACGTCGGAGGAGGGGTGTGTGTGTGTGTGTGGTTGAAGCTGAATGGTGGCTGAAGCCCTGGGACCACCAGGTGCCAAGGTTGTGATCCTGTGGGAGCAAGTGCCTGTGCTGTAGGCAGAGCTGGGTGATTGCGAGAGCCATCTGCAACAGGAGAAGAAGCTAAGCCTCAAAGCCCAGGCCAGCACCCCTATTTTCATCTGAGGAATGTTAGAGGGTATGTGCCACTCCTGAATAGGTTCCAGGCCTACTGTATCTGAGCAGAAAGTAGTTGCAAAGATACCGTGATGCAGGTAGACAAAATTTAGCAACCTTCAACCTCACCCTGCTTCTGGAAAATCATGCTAAATATTTAAAGGGGGGGGAGCAGAGAGCAAGCCAGTCCTCAGGGAACCTTAAATCACACATAAAAGGTTTGGACAGCAATATACTAGTCTTCATGAAGCTGAGGTCCTATTTATAATTCCAGTTCTGTTAGCACTGCCCTAACGCTAGATTGCACAATTCATAACAGAGGGAAATAAATTCACAACAGTCAGGCTTTGGCTAGGCAGCTGAGCTCCCCATTCAGTTTAATGAGTGCTGGGTCACAGAAAAGGTCCGTAAGGATGGCTCTATAATGTTTGCCAACAGTGATAAATAGCTGGAAGAGAGATATTTATCCAATCACTCTCCGCTAAGGCTAACACAGCAAGAGGTTGCCATTTATTCTCATCAGTCCCCAAACTACCCAGTGAAGACCCATTTTTGCAGATATAGACACACACACATACATACAAATGCACATACATAAAACATGAAGTCGAGTTGCATCTTCTACAGTTTCGACAGCTCTGCTTCATGTTATAAATATGCACCAAACTGCTTGCAAAAAAAGTTCGGGGGCAGAGTATATTAAGAACTTCCAGGGCTCCACATCCACTACTGACCATTTGCCATGCTAACAGGAGTTGTAGCCCAAAACATCAGGTTTGAGGAGTGCTGCATTACTGAATGGGTATTCCAGAGACTTGGAAAATTGGAGACAATACTGCAGTTTCCCCTCACAATTTAGGCCTGCAGAACATGTGGTATACCCAGCTGAACAGGGGAGAGTGACAGCCTCTCTGTTGTTTTTTTACAGAGGTCCTAGACAGAGGGTACAAATTGGTTGTTGTTGGTCAGCCCCCCATGCAGCAAGATGAGGTGACCACCTCAGGCAGTAGGATCCACAGGGGCTGCCGATCTTTATTCCCCCCTTGTCCCTGATGTACATTTTCACTCAACCCATTTTTCCCTGGCAGGGCAGGCAGGCGGGCACCATTTTGTGCTTTTCCTCAGGTGCCAAAATGTCTTGAGCTGGCCTTGGCTCATGTAAAGCTTGTAGGGTCAGACAAGTTCTCAGGGCTATTTTGTCATTGCTGTTTTCCTCTGCTTTTGTTGTTTGTTTTTGAAATATGTATCTTCTGCCATCCCTTTCTTTTCTGTTTTCCTTCTTCCTTATTTACTTTACTAAAATAATCTCAATAAAAATGTAAATAAATAAATAAATAAATAAATAAATAAATAAATAAGTTCTCAGGGTTATCCCAGAGCCCTGAAGTTCTGAGATGCCAGATGGCAGCTCCCTCCTCAACCAGATGTCCGAAAAGGCTAGGTTTCTGTTAGCTTTGTTATTATGGAAGCTAGGGCTGCCATATTTCAAAAAGTGAAAATCCAGACACAAAAGTTGTTGAGCTCCGATTTCCCCCGACATTTCAGCGATCTCCTCCTGATGGAAGGTGAAGCACTGTGTCTAAGGTATTGCTAACATTTGCCACCACCACCAATATGGCAAGATTTACTTGCCACCATTAATGGAGGGTTGGACCATAGCTCAAGTGACAGAACATCTGTGTTGCGTGCAGATGTTTTGCAATGCCCAGCAACTGCAGGCAGAGCTAGAAATGTATCTTGTCTGAAACAGCGGAGAGCCTGTGTACGGAACTAGATGGAACAGTGATATGACTCAGTTTAGGCAGCTTTCTAGGTTTCTAACAGCTCAGCTTCTCTACTCAATAAATGCACATGCACATACCATGGAAATGTGTTTGCTTGTGTGTGTATGTGGGTCACCCTGCATATACACAAGAATAGTAAATTGTGAATTGTCCCTCAGGTTTTGAGGGCCCCGAACAAGGAATTCTGAAACTGATTCTGGTGTGCAACTTCATAGCTGTAGGGTATAGTATGCTCCCTTGGTGAGGAGTGACCTTTATGAGAGAGAGAGAGACTATTCTATAATTCAGCATCTCTCTGTAAAATAGGAGTATCAGTGTCTGGGAGCAATACCAAGAGGGACTGGGAAACATCTTTCCTTAGTCAGAGATACCAGTGCTAATGCATTAATATCACACTTCACATGTCTTTGGTATTGAAAGCAGGTTTCAGATTTGAGCCATGGGACTAAGCTCCTTCCAGCCCATGGCATCTTATTTTCTGAAGGAAAATAGTCCATGAAATATGAATTTATGCGCAATTTCTTTCAATTTCGGAATTTTGGTCTCGGCATAGTATTCAAGGCACTCTGCTTGTCCATGCTCAGCTTATGAGCTTATTTATTTGCCATGTCTTGAAGAGGAGCATCAGAAGCATATCACACACACACACACACACACACACACACACACAGACAAACAGAGAGAGACTACTAAAACTTGTTGCTCACTGCTCCAGACCTGCCAGAATACCATCAAGAGCCATAGGAAACACTTGCTGGACTAAATGGAAATGAAACATGAAGGATTCCAATGCCTTTCTCACCAAACCGATTACCTTTTAATGTCCAAGGCTCGTTACAGTGCACCTGGGCAGTTGATATGCTTGACGGAAATGTGGTTTATTAGCAGAAGATTGTCAGATGAACACTAGGGCAAGGTCAAATTACAAGGGACATGGAGAGGATGAACTTCTGTGAATGATCAACCAAATTAGTAACCAAAAGTGTCCTTAGAAATTATGTCAACATACCTAAAAATTATTTGATGATCACAGTGACAGGAGACAGGCAGTCAGGACATGTATCCACAGCAGTGACCAGAGAAGGAAAAATAACCGCTCGGAGGAGCGCAGAGAGAAGAAATGCCATGGTGCTCCCATAGCAGGAAAACCAGATGCCTTCATCTGCTCCACCTGCAATCATAGCCCCAATTCTATAGGGTTGAGGCATCTTCAGCCCCTTCCCCCCATGGCTGTTGGGATTGGGTTGAGTCCCCACAATCTTGAGAGGATGGAGGAGGCCAAGCCTTTCCCCGCCTGCCCATCCCTTCCCCCTCTCTCCACCCTTTGTCCGCTGTGCTCCACCACCTTGGGAGACACCATGTAGCTTGGTGTGGCCTGGCTGGAAGTTGACCCAGCTGTGCAGTGTCAACAGATGCTGTATGGCTTGGCCTGGCCTCGCTGGAGGTTGCCCCGGACCATGCAACATTGTGAGACACCACAAGATACTTGGGAGGTCTGTGACAGTCACGTGACACCATGGCATGTGTTATGTCGCACATGTGTGATGCCCCCTCCCCATGTTGGGCACAACTCGGCACCTCTGCCTGCCGGTGCTCTAACTCTCCAATGGTTTGACTTCACTCCAAAAGTGCATTGTCTCCCAAGGAAAACAGATGCCAACAACAACAACCTCAAATATATGTTCTCCTCATGAAGAAGAACCAGGCAGAGGGCCTTCTTGGTTGTGGCGCCCTCCCTGTGGAACACCCTCCCTTCAGATGTCAAGGAGATAAAGAATCACACAACTTTTAGAAGACATTTGAAAGCATCCCTGTATCGGGAAGTTTTTAATGCTTGATGTTTTTATTATGTTTTTAGAAATTCTGTAAGCTGCTCAGAGTGGCTGGGGAAATCCAGCCAGATGGGCAGGGTAGAAATAACAAATTTATTATAATTATTATTATAAAAGGCTCACCCCTCCATGGTCTCCAAAGCATGCTACCAGAGATCCTAATGGAACAACGATCCTTCTTCATCTGGAGGAACTCTATGGACACGTGCAAAGGCTCTTTCCAGTGTGTGCCAAATGCATAACTATGCTCTCCCTGATGCATGAGAGGGAAATTTGTATGAGCACTGCTTATGCATATATAGAAGCAGGAGCTACACAGCTGGAAACTTGCTGTAACTGAAATGAGGCACTCTGCGAAAAGGACAGGCTGCCAAAAACAGTCAGCATTCAAAACACTTTTCAGCCGCAAAAGCACATTGGCCAACTTTGGACAAGTCTGGCTGACTTAACTCACAGGCAAGTTGTAAGGCAAAAATCTCTCTCTCAGTTCCCAGAAGAAAGGATGGAATACAAAGAAAATATACAAAACCTCTCCCGATACAAAGGCCTGCATGGTTGTTTCTGAGAAGGCATTCCTGAGTATCTTTTTTTTTTTTTGTCCCATTAAAGTAAGTCTCTAAGGAATTTTTGTGTAAAGTGTAAGAAGCGAAAACAGGAAAAGAAAGAAATGGACGGATTCTAAATGAATAACCACTACTTCTCCCCCAAAGATATATTTTTTTTTTGCAGAAAACATAGGCCCTGTGGCAATACACACACACCTCACACATCAGCAGCCAATAGTAACAAGTAGCACAATGAGTGTTGCAAAGTCAGTTTTGCATCCTGCAGAATGTATGGTTTTAAAAATGTGTTCTTCTTTTTCCTGGGAACACTGCTGGAAGAAAATGTAGCAGGCCTTGTATTCCTTGCAAAGCAGAAGTTTTCGCTCTGAATTCTAATGCAACGACTGCCGAGGCAGTAGTCTGTTATCTGAATTTTAATGCCTGTATCTTTTTTATCTTGTCAGTTGTAGGGAAGATGTGAGTAGTTTTCATGAAACATTAATGGCGATAACTGGAGTCTACTCTCCCACACATCCTCTCCTGTTGTGATGTAAAGTATGTATCTCTGTTGCGCTGCCACCGTGCATTTTTTGCTAGCTCTCACAGGTCTGGCTGTGGGATGTGTGTGTGTGTGCATGAACACAGACACACAGAACGTCTGAGATGACAAAGAGCTGGATGTGGGAGATCAGAACTTTTAATTAATTTTAAGGACTGTTCTTAGACTGAGGGTGATGCTCAAGCACTTGTACTATTAGCTCATATACTGCCATCTTTAGCTGATATTTGCTTTAGCAAGACCTCACAACCAGGGAAAGGCAAAATCCTCTGAGAAATTTGTTTCGGCAGAAACTCTATCTCCTTTTGTAGTTAACTTTGGTTCTCTATTGTTCTGTTTATTTATTTTTATATCTGTAAGCTTAGAGTCGGCAGGCTTTCTTCATCAAATTTTCCACCACCAGAATGGGAATTTTGCTTTCAAAAGCAAAATTTCCCTCAAGACTTATAATAAGGTTATAGGAATCTTTTTTTTAAAAAAATGAGGAAGGAAAATAGTGTTATCACCATAGGGGATAGCAATGCAGTGGCGAGAGAAGGACAGAATGGAGAATAATCTTTAGTGGGAACACATTTTGGAGTCACTCTCTATAATACGACCCTTGTTGTGTAGGCCTTCTCCCTCTAAGAGGTCATCCCTCTTAGCACAGGGGCAGAGAATCTTTTCTGGCCAGTGGGCCAGACCCTTATCTCCTCATCCCTGGAGGGCCATATTTGGTAGGTGGACGGGGTCAGGTTTTAGAGGTTTAAAGAGCATTGCGGGTCTGTTTGCAAAAAGCCTTTGGAACCACCTGTGCTCCTCTTTGAACCTCCAGTGCAATCCTTCTGGCTGCAGGAATTGGCAGCACCCAGTCAGGATTTACTCTTGAGAGTCCCATGGACTGCAAGATGATCAAACGTATCCATTCTGAAGGAAATCAGCCCTGAGTGCTCACTGGAAGGACAGATCGTGAAGCTGAGGCTCCAATACTTTGGCCACCTCATGAGAAGAGAAGACTCCCTGGAAAAGACTCTGATGTTGGGAAAGATGGAGGGCACAAGAAGAAGGGGACGACAGAGGACGAGATGGCTGGACAGTGTTCTCGAAGCTAACAGCATGAGTTTGACCAAACTGTGGTAGGCAGTGGAAGACAGGAGTGCCTGGCGTGCCCTGGTCCATGGGGTCACAAAGAGTCGGACACGACTAAACGACTAAACAACAACAACAACAACAGAGTCAGGATTGAACCCTCTACTCACTAGCTGATGAGCAGATGCTTCGTGCTTGCTGACTGTGTGGTTCTGCTTTGCCAGTTCATTCCCAACAGAAAACATGTTGCTGAAGCAGATCCCAGCTGGCTTGAACCCCACCCTCCTGCCTGTCAGCAGAAATCACCCAGTCAGCTGACCAAGTGATGTCAGCTGATGGACAGGTGGGGTGTAGCTTGAGAGAAATGGCCTCAGGGCCCCACAGGGCAGGGGTTCCCCATTCTTGCTTTAGGGGTGTGGAGAAAAGGACAAATTAGAAGGAGAGGGTCTAGTACCTGTGGAACGCCCTCCGATCAGATGTCAAGGAAATAAACAACTATCTGACTTTTAGAAGACATCTGAAGGCAACCCTGTATCAGGAAATTTTTAATTTCTAATGTTTTACAATGTTTTATGTGCTGTAAGCCACCAAGAGTGGCTGGAGAAACCCAGCCAGATGGATGGGGTATAAATCATAAAATAAAATAAAAATAATTAACCTCTCTCAAAACAATGGTTTCCTATGCTATTCTCAGTGATTATCCCAGTGCAGGATCTATGTCTCATTCAAGCAATGCACTTGCAACCGTTGTACACCTACTTTTCAACCAAATCGGGAACCAGGATTGTGGTCTGAGTAGAAGCCTGCTAATCTCTGCATAGCTAGGAGATTTAACACATATCTTACAAAGAGTGGCATAATCAGTATTTTCAAGTGTTGTAATCCTCCACCTGATACTCATCTATCCCCTCAGCGCAGCTTTTAGCAACGCTTGCCTTAATATACACCTGGGAAACACTTCTCCTTCCTCCCCTATCATCATCAATGAACACAGAAAGTGTTTCTAATGGGAAATGTGCAGGGCATGTGATAAAAAGGTCAGGGAGAGTTCAGTTATGCGAGGGGGGGAAAGTATTTTCTCATGAATAGACAGTTAAGCTGAAGATAATTAAAGTTTCCACTATACAAAAAAGAAACTGTTAGATAAGCGCTTTGAACCAATGCTTTGGGATTCAGTTTAGAAAAGATAGCGGCCAGCAAAATTCTTTAGTTAAAACTGGGGCTGACTTAAAACTACACCCCAGCTTTTTTTTCTTCTTTTTTTTCAAATGATTTTGACAGTTTTCCCCCAATCCCCACCAATCACCCTGTTTTGACAGGGTGATTGGTGGGGAATGTTTCTCATTAAAATATCCGTCCATTCATTTGGATTGACCTTGCTCTCAGCTGCCGACTCCCACCTCAGCAATGGTTAAAGCTGATTGGTTATGTAGTATTGTGATCTCATTCCATTCACCATGTTATCTCTGATTGGGTGGGATCATCCTTTGGGGGCAGGAGGAAATTCTCCCAAAGGGGTGAAATGGTCCCAATGTATTGATGATATGAAATGTCCAGACTCCTTATATTTAAAAGAACTTTACTTTCACAAACATATAGCTGAGAAGAACATACCTACAATCTCATGCTTATTCACTTATAGAGAGCACAAGTTTCTCCCTATTAACATTTAGGGATCTTCCTCTGTCTGCTTCATCCCAGGCAGACCACATTGACACACACTGTCCTCAGCAGAATCCAGAGAAACCCCTCTCAGCAGCCATTCTCCCTTGCACACACAGAGAGAAGAACAGGGAAACAGTTAAAAATGACAGTTACTTGAATAACAGTCACAACAGAATGGAATGCCTTTCTCATGTGACTCACAGCCAGCCAATCACATGACTTAGCTACTGCCAAAGGAAAAACCCCATGCTATACAAACACAGCAATTTAACATAAGCAACATTCCCATTTCAGGAAATTAAACCATTATCCTTAACAGATGTAGTGCTCCATGACTACATATATACATATATAGTCGTATAGCCCTTACGACTTTCGCCAGGTTGCACCTCCTCATCCACACCGCCTTTCCTCAAGCCAGGCCCCTTACTGACCCAAGTTGCGTTCTTGAGTGCTTTTGCCTGGCTGGAATGTATCCTTGAATTCTGATCATGTGCCTTGCTTGCTTGAAAAGAAGATAGAGAAAGTGTGCTGGTCTATGTAGGAACTAGTCTACTGTATAAAGGTAACATTTGCATTCATTTCTCTGCTCACGTTCACCATTGGCCCCACTGGCATGTGCTCCACAGAAGGGAATCCAACCCTTTGTCTGAAAAATGGTTCTCCACCCCTGATCTAAATGTTTGGCAGGTATATTCCCTGTTTGACCCCCATAATCAAAACGGGCAGCTATTCAGAGCAGCTCTAGAGACATTTTGTATCCACCCTCTCTATCTGAATGCAATATTGAAGCAGTTTCAACTGGCAATAAAGAAAATCAATGCTTGAAATAAACTTATGCGTATTAGGGGAGATGCTGCCAGCAGCGCAACTTATGTAAACAAAGATGGGCTTATTCAAAACTTTTTTGTATTCATATGTGGGCATTAGCCCCCAGCAGCTTTATTTTGATGCATTCTAGTAATAAGACATAGCAGATACAGACTTATAAGGGCACGAAATGGCTGGATCATTTCCACAGCATAATTCACTCGGCATAGATTTGTGTATGAATTCTATCCCTCTCTTTCTGTGTCTGCCTTGGTGGAGGTGAGATAAATTCACTCCAAAATGGCCCCGAGGACCTACAAATGTAAGGAATCCCAGGCCAAATAGAGACCTGTCAATCTCCCGACACAGCGGGAGACAACCCTGGCACTTAAATTTTGCAGCAATAACTCATTTCCTTGCAACTTCTGTGTGAGTGACCCTTTGACTTTATCAGCCTCTCTCTGAGAGAGACCGAGTTTCATTCCTCTTTTTTTGTCCCTTCATCAGGTCATTTAACCTTAGTTCCTTAAATATGCAGGGGGGAGAGAAACTTGTGCAGATTGCTAGATCTACATCCAGGCCATCTAAATCAGGTATGTGAAATGGGTAAGGCATGCCTACTTAGAGTGTGAAGCTTAATTTGTGCATGTGTGATGCAACTTCACCCAGAGGCCTCTAGCAGGAGATCACCTTCCCCACTGTTGTCCCCCCAGCCACCACCAATAAGTACACTTTGGGAAGGAAATGAGGCAATGCACAGGGTATCCCAGTGTTGGGAGAATCACAGAGGCTGGTTCAGAGTGGCCATGTGTCCTACTTTACTGTCCTCTCTTTGAAGGCACCCTCTGTTTGAAGAGCTGCCCTATCTAAGACCTGTTAAAGATAAAAAACCACAAGAATGGAGAATAGCAGCCTTGAAGTTGCCTGTCAACTGTTGGGTATACAGGTAACCTGCATGTCTGCTCAGTCTGCTGTCCAATTGTTGTCACCTTGCCACAGCCTTCCCCACTATGATGAGATGCACTGTATTTCTATTTCAGTCATAGCAATTATTTCAAATTCTAAACACACATATTAGCTTATGCAAATCCTCTTTTTTAAAATGATGTACAGTCGTACCTTAGATCCTGAACGCCCAGGAACTCAGACATTTTGGCTCCTGAACGCTGCAAACCCAGAAGTCATTGTTCTGGTTTGCGAACGTTCTTTTGGAACCCAAATGTCTGATGGGGCTTCCGCGGCTTCTGATTGGCTGCAGGAGTGTTTTGCAAGTCTAACGGACTTCTGGAACGGATTCCATTCAGCTTCCAAGGTACGACTGTATTTCCCCTGTTTTGGTGGCCCCTCTGCATTCAGACTCTATTGTCCTTTCTGTGACATCATTCAGACTCTACAATTCTATGAGGAGTGCAATGGGGTCAAAATTTGCAACTGAGCTTGGGGGTGAGGGAACAAGCCACTCCCTTAAAAAAAAAAAGTAGCAGGTTTTGCTGAGTCTAATTTTGAATCAAGCCAAGGAAAGACATCGCTAGCCTGTAGTCAGGATTAGGATTGCTATCATACTGCTTTAGGTCTCTGAAACATTAACACCTATACCCAGCCTGTGCTCATTTGACTCAGCTCTTTGTAAGTGATGACCAAATCCCAATGGGAGAGCTGCATACTCACATGCCCCACTACCTCCAAAAAGCTTTCCTTAAAGCCTTTATTAAAAGATTTATTTCAATTCCTGCTGGAACAAATTCATTCTGCGCTATGGCCTGAAGCACTCTGAAACTCTGGCGCTGATAAAAATCACCAGAGGAGCGGACTACCGCAGACAAGGGTTTTGATATTTAGAAGGCCTTGCGCCCGCAGCAGCTGCCACACTGCTCCACTCAACTACCATGGCTGCTGAGAAGAACGGAGGGAGGGAATGCTCTTTGGGCAACAAGATTCTAGGGCATTCTGATTAAGCAGCCACTGTAATTGACCTCCAGAGTAAATGGGTAGCCAGGGGCAAGAGAGAAAGGGGGCGGGTAGATTTTGCATATGTAGAGTGGCCTACTTAAGTATACTTCAATATGAACTTATAGGACTGTCATTGAAATTCTACTCAATATTGATCCAGAGCAGATTCCAATGTATAGTTAGCAAAGTAGAAACTTAAACACGTTGCAGGATTCCCAAAAATAGACCAGAGGAAATTAATATTTCATCCAGCAGAGCTTTACTGCTATGGAAGGCAAATGAGAATAGTGGTCACAATTCCAATACATTCAGGGTTGTAACTGTCCATAAGAAATCAAGTTGCAGCAGACTTAACTTAAACTTACAGTAATTTATAATAAGACTAAACCTTAATGCTATACGTATACAGAAAACCACACCAGAAGGAAAAAGGATAGAAAGAGAAAGTGAAGCCCAGGGTCCTTCTGGCCTATTTTTATAGTCAGCATGACCTTGACTGAAGAGATAACAGAACCAGTTTAAGCCAGCTGTACTCAGCTTCTCTAAAGGAATAACCCAAACATCACGAACTTTCTGCTTGTTTCTTTTACACAGAGAAGCTTTCAGAACTCTCTTGAATTAATTAGAATAGGAGAGATCTCTACACATCAGATCAATATTTTCTGCACTAAGAAATGCAAACTGACAAGGACATCTCAGTTTTTATCAGAGAAATGTTGGATGGTATGCATCAAATTTATCTTTTTGAATGCATTCATTTGCAGACTTCTGAATGCAAAAATGCTGCAGTGCTCTGTGGGTGCTAGCTCCATAGTTCTGATCAGTATTTTGTGTACATTGACCAATAAGGTGACAAGGTGAAAGCAGCTGTGGTGATACTTCATTGGAAAGCTCTGTGCATCTTTGATAAAGTAAATGCAGTGACCTTTGCTTTCTAGATTTAGGTACGCACTCTGAGTGACTCAGCTGGGGCCAAAGGGCGAAACTCTTGCACTCTGATTTACCTGCTGAGCAGATGACATTTGCTTTCAAGGAAGCAGCACCGGCGCAAAAGGAAATGGAAGATCTGAGCGACAACGGCATGCTTTGTGGTATCCCTCCTATCTACAAAGGACGGGCCAGCTTCTCTTCCAGACCACATAGGGAAATGCACAGAGAACGTCTATGCTGCACTGTGGTCTACAATTGTAAAATTATTTGAACACCTGGTTCTGTGAGTTTCTCAACAGAACATGTTGTCACTCACAGTTTGGTGACGATGAAGCACTTGCGAAGACACCAGCACATATAAACAAAAGAGCTAGGAGATTTGGCAGCCAGCACAAAGTGTGCAGTTCTCTGAAACCACCATAGCAGATTGAGGAAAAGAGGAACCGACTTGCCAGCTATCCATTCACTTAGTGCCCCCAAAGCAGCTGGCTAGTAGGGGGTGCTTCAAATTGCAGATTCTGAAGTTGCCAGGTGGTATAAGGCACCAGGAGCCTTCAAACCCCTCGCCTGTATAAATAAGATGCAGCTGTGTTTAGACCACTGCCTGCACACCACCAATACTCATTTGCATCATTTTATTTACTTTTTAAAAAAATGATATTTATTGGAAAAAAAATTAGAATTACAAAAAAAACAAAGCAGAAAAAAGAAAAAAAAAAGAAAAAATAAATCCATCATTCTCAAATTCAAATTCTCAACTTTCATTGCCTTCTTTCTTTGACCTCCTCCTCCTCCCTTTTCTTGTATCCCAATTAATAATCGTCACAGCAAATCCCTTACATAATTCATAATATTCTGTCATTACATTACCTTAATCTATTTTCATCTTATCTTATAAAAAACCTTAAGGCTTAAAGCTTAAATCTTATTTTTACCAACTTCTCATAACCATAATATTCTTACCTAATTCTTTAAACATTTTTGCTAGAGCCAAGTAATTTCATTTCAACATTTTTCTAACATTCATCAATTTTATAAAACAATCCTAACGATTAAAAAAAAGAAATAGGCACAATCCAATCTTCAACCAGCGTCCCTTCCTCCTGGTCCCGGGTTTTGTCAGTCCTTTTTATCCCATTGATCTAGCGCATTAACCTGGTAACCTTATATCCGAGGCCCTCAAGTCTCTTCCATGTCCCTTCCGCAGCTCTTCTTCATATTTTCCTTTCACTCGTGGGAACTCCAGCTTGGTAATGTTCTTGACCCTTTTCAACGAATCAGCCCCTTTTCCATAGTCCGGACTAAACTCCATGTGATATTTAAGAACATGTTTCAGATTCCCTCCAAAATTGAGAGCCCACACAGCTCCAAACATCTGACGGCCCATTGCCAGACTCGGAAAGTCCAAACAACCCTGCGTGGGGGGGTCAATCCAACCCCCCATTTCCAATCCAATCCAAACCTTATCTTTCCAAATCTGGTTTTTTCCAAGATCATTTGTTAAATCCAAAGGCTCATGTTCCTGCAGGGCCGCAGTTTCCTCCATCTCTGGTGCCCAAGATTCAGCAACGTCCTCTTCTCTCATCTGTTCTGTCAGGGCACACTCCTGTTTTAGTTCCTGGGTGGGCTCCATATAGTTTCCCACTACCTGTTCAAAAGTTCTGGCCGCATTAGTCATCAAGTCCGTCTTCTGATTTAACTGGTCCAGTAGGGCATTTATTTTACAGAGAGCACCCAACAGAGCTTCTGAAAACATTGCCCTGCAAGGTCACAAGTCCTTTCCCACGATTGTAATCTGTAACAGCTGCAAGCTCCCTGGATTTAGTTACAGTTTCACAGTCTCCCTCTAGGGGGAAAACTTCTGTTTGTTCTTTCTTTTTAAAGACAATAGCAACAAAGTTTCTTTTTAGAGATACTTTGTCAATATTTGTTCCTTTAAAATGCGAAAGGAAACAGTGGAATCACTATATCTTCTTTTAACTGTCTGTCACAAGCATTTGTCTCTGGTCAATGAGCTTCAAACGTCAGTCCTGACACCCCGCTCCAGGATCAGGACGGAGGAAAGTTACTTTATTTTGAACTCGCTTCTGCAGGTTTAAATAGTCCAAAAAAAGATCCCCCTTCTTCTCCTGCTACCGAAGGGGGGTTCAACAATTTTAAATGATGAAAGCCAATCCTGTAGAAGTAATTTTCTAAGCTCTAGTTTACGTTGTCTTTGCTTTATTCTGTCTACAGAGAAACGGAAGGCTGACTTCCTGTTTAGACCTTCCCGTTTCAGTACCAAATTAGATTAAATTTTTAAGTCCAATTCCTTTCTGCTCGCCAATCCTTGTTTATAGTCCAATTGTTCAAAGTTTATGTACTCACGGGTGATTATTTTAGATGCCAAATTGTCCCAGGAAAAAGGCAGCGCTCTCCGGCAATGGCTATGCGGCTTCGCTCCGCGGAAAAAGCAGTTGACTCGCGGCACCGCGCCACTTCCCCCTCTTCGCTTCGGAGCCCGTTAGTGGGTTCCTTTGCGGGTTGGGGGGGGCGCTAAAGGTGCCCGCCGAGTCCCATGGCCACAGGCTTCATCCGCCTGTGGTTTCTAAAAGGGTCCCCGCTTCGCCGTAGCAGAAAAGACCCGTTTCATGAGGAGCTGGTCCCTCCAGTTCAAAGGGAGTCCGCCATTGCCGATGGCGCCACCCCGGAAGTCCCTGCATCATTTTATTTACATATCGCATCTCCAATATGGCATTCAATGTAGCAACCCCTTCCTCCACAGCCTTGGCACCTTCTGGTTTTGGTGCTGAGACATAACTTGTAAGTGGGAACTTGGTTGATGAAAGGTATCGTTTTAGCCTGTTCTAACATTTTCCCAGTAGTGATGTATGGAAGTGAGAGCTGGACCATAAAGAAGGCTGATCGCAGAAGAATTGATGCTTTTGAATTATGGTGCTGGAGGAGACTCTTGAGAGTCCCATGGACTGTAAGAAGATCAAACCTATCCATTCTGAAGGAAATCAGCCCTGAGTGCTCACTGAAAGGAAAGATCCTGAAGCTGAGGCTCCAATTCTTTGGCCACCTCATGAGAAGAGAAGATTCCCTGGAAAAGACCCTGGTGTTGGGAAAGATTGAGGGCACAAGGAGAAGGGGACGACAGAGGACGAGATGGTTGGACAGTGTTCTCAAAGCTACGAACATGAGTTTGACAAAACTGTGGGAGGCAGTGGAAGACAGGAGTGCCTGGCGTGCTCTGGTCCATGGGGTCATGAAGAGCTGGACACCACTAAGCGACTAACAACAACAAGGAGTAGCAGTTACGGATAAGAGACATCACATTAAGTGTAGGCCATTTAAAATACGATGGGCACAATATTGACTCCAATATAAGTCTCCTGCTAAATTCTTATTGACATTGACAAAACATCAGATTTTGGCATGGTGACTGTGCCATGCTGAAAAGCACAAATATTTTTTGAATGTGTATTGAGACTGGGACATCCTTTCCCAAAGGAGGTAATTAACAGTTCTCCTAAAGACTATGTTTTTTTCGACAATGCCGTACAATCAACCCCAAACAGTGGATTAAGATAACACAAGCATCTTCTTCAGTGAGATTTAAATGAGTCCAGCAGGGATCAATTGAAGTCTGACACATTCCGCTCTCATGTACAAGGTTTCTGGCTAATGCCGTTCTAGTTAGTTTTGTTTATAAATGTCTCCAGTGGGAATTAAGACAAAGGATTGGTCCCTGCTCCTGCCGCTTGTAAGCAGCGGGTCTTCTGAGCAGGAAGGAGAAACAGAAATGAAAGAGAAATATCTATTGCTAAGGGAAGAGTTGAAACAATATCATACGCCCAGTTTTATTTTGTGAAGGCAAAATACAGTAAAGGATCTTTGATCAAGCACCGTCTCGCAAATGTGCAGTGATATACTCACTTAATGTGTGACCCCAAAATTCCAGATGCCCCCAAACTGATGCCAAAGGTTAATGCTAGTTTTGTGCCGTTTTGTGCTGCAAACCCCACATTTTGTGTCACCCCCCAAACTGACTAATTGTCACTCAAACCAGGGTCACAAGTAAATGGCCAAAAACCCAACCTTGTCTGATTGACTCCAAACCGGTGCCCAAGTGGTGCACTGATTTGGTGGCATTTCGTACCGCAAACCCCACTTTCTGTGCTGCTGCCCCCAAAGGGAGTAATTAACACTCAACCTGGGGGCCGTAAGTGGGGAATTAAGTGGGCTAAGTGCGGACTTACGTCCCCACAAACCAACTTAGCCTTAGCGCGGACTTAAGCTGGCTAAACTGGCTTATTGGGCTAAGTGGGCTAAGTTGACTAAAGGGCCCCTTTTAGCCAACTTAAGTCCTCACTTAGCCCACTTAGTCATGCCCTTCCCCTCTGGTAAGCATAGTGATAGTGGTGGTGGGAGGTTGGGTAAGTGCTGCTGCTCCTTCCTGCCCCCCACTACTGCCTTTCCATCTCCAGCCACTTGTCCCTTCCAAGTCTTCCTTCTTCCTTGCCACACTGCTCTGTAGATGTTCTGCAGAAACCAGGCTTCCCAGGTCTAATTCTCCACCACACATGTCTTCTACGCAAATCAAGTTCAACTCCATAAAGAACCCATTTTGCAGCGTCTGCTATATAGAAGCTTGCATCCATCTGTTACGGTAAAATCTGGGTGCGAGGCTGCTCTGCCACCCAGCTCGTCGGACTAAGTCCGCGGGTCCCTGCGGAGGAAAATGAGCTCAGCCGGAAACAGGAGCAAGATGCAGAAGATCCAAGTTTATTGCGCAACAGGTTCAAGGCGAGATTGAACAGCGAGAAAGGGGTGACATGAACTTTTAAAACTTCCCTCCATGTCCCAGAATACAGTGCAAAATAAATCACAGTTATCATGAATACATTAAGAAGAGGTTGGGTTACACAGATTACATCATGAATACATTAAGAAGAGGTTGGGTTACACAGGATTAACATATGGAGGAGGGAGGGGGAATATGCAGAGCTGGAAATATGCGCAGATAAGCACATCCTGAGTACCGGTGATGAGAAGACAATGGTCCATGTATGCATAGTCTGCCACCTGGCATTGCCCGGAGGAAAGGCTTGGCAGAGTGATTTGACAGGATTAGGGTCTTCCTGAGAGTACATGACACCTCGCTTGAGGGATTATGGAGGACAGGGGAGGTGTCACGGAGTCCTAGAGAAATTGAGCAAATTGGCACGTTGATTTTCTATGAATTTTATAGATTTTAGTCCCTTTTGACATTGACAATTGGACTCGGAAATAAATGGATATATTGTAGCGAAGAAGAAGGTGAAGAAGACATGCCCCCCCCCTTCCGTATCAGTCATCTTAACAATTTTGCTTCGAATGAAATATGGAATTGGGGAGCAAACACAATACTTTCTTCCACTATTCCCCCCACTTGTGAGATTTCATTCAGCAGTTTGTTGGTAGCTTCACAACCGTCTAAAGCGGTGCTTGCGCTGTGATGAATGGGCTGGTTAGCTGAATGTCAGATATGCGACGCTGATTTGTGACTGGCCTGCACGTTCTGCACAGTGATGATAATAACATTAATACTTAATTATTATTGTCCCCTATAAAGCTGTGAGGTACTGTACATTGATTAAAAAATACGATAGGCCAAGCCTGGAGGATTACAGTGTAATTAAGGTTAGGACACATCAGGGAGCAAAGTGAAGGAAGGAGAGAAAGAGAGAGAGAAGACAAGAAGGGTCAGCCAGCAAAAGCTAGGATGAAAAGATGTGTCTAAAGCATGGGGGATATTGGGGAGAGAGCTTTCCATGAACATTTTAAACAGATAATTTGTTGCAGGCTATTTTGGCCAGTTTTCAGAGATAAAATGCTTTGCCTCTCCATGATGCTTTGCCCTGAATTAATTTTTGTTTGCCTTCAGTTGACATTGTCTTTTTCTTACGTGATCCCTGATTGGCTATGATCTCCAATCTGACCAGTTCAGAAAACATTGCCTCACTCTAACTTGGCTTTGTTTGCTCTCATGATGTCAACATGCAGCCAAATATGATGTGCTACATGGCATTGGGATAAAATCACATTTTCTATTAGCTGGAATCACACTCAGAAAAACCAAGAAGTCATAATCAGAAAATAAAATGGCACCGAAGCAGCAGTACACGGGGAACAGGTTATAAGGGAAATTAATGGGTTTAAAAAGCACTGCAAAATACAGAGAAACAGACAAACATTCAGTGCAGTCCTAGGACAAACAGGTGTCTGAATGTTGTAACAGAGAAGAGGAAAGCTGGATGTCTGGTGGGACACAAGGATGAAACAGAGGGGGTCATCTCAGATTCAGCTAAAACACTGAGACCAAAATCCTGAAATGAAAGAGAGGTTTAAAACAGATTCATTCTGCAAGGAGCACAGGGCTCTAATAGAAGCTGAGTTGGTTCAAGGTTATCCACTGAGCTTCATAGCTGAGCACCTGGGATTGCATAATAATGGTGGTAGAGTCAAATGTAGAAAACAACAGATAACAAATGTTGGAGAAACAGAGGGCACTTATTATCATATGCGGTGGCAAAGTAAGGTTGTTAAAAGGTATTGAGAAATGATACATAATGAATTTTTTAAAATGTTCAGAAAATAACCTTTGTCAAAAAGCCAGAAGCCTTCTTATTAGGTATTACAGGAGTGGATCTATAGGAAAAAAATATAAAACATTGTTTATGTATGCAACAACAGCCACTCAAATACTATTAGCACAATCTTAGAAAGAAGAAGTTGTCCCCACAAAAGAAGACTGGCAAAATAAATTAATGGAATATGCAGAAATGGGTAAATTAACTGGGAGAATAAGAAATCATGAAGACAATAAGTTTAAGAAGGAATGGGAAATGTTTATTGCAGATATTAAAAAGCCATGTATAAAAGTTAATACATGAGCAGGATTTTAAAACATGCTTGTAATATTATAGACAAGGTACAAGAATTGGAAAGAAAAATTATTAAAACTTTTATGGACATGCAAGAATAACATATAACAAAGGGGAGGTAGAGAGGGAAGTCAAGGGATTTTAATAATCCCATATTGTGGATTTAAAATGGATTGTATATACAGTTGATTTAATGTTTTGATATATGATTTTTTTCCTATAAGTGATGTTTTGTTATTGCCAAAAATCAATAAAAATTAATAATAATAATAATAATAATAATAATAATAATAATAGTGGTGGAGTCCTCAGACTCGGTGGCTATGCAGGAAGCCAGATGGGAAGCCCAGGAGTGCCCCCTTTCTCCCACTTCATTCTATGCTCACTATGGGTTTTAAAAAAGCATTATGCTCATTGATAAGACATTGGGGATAGGAAATTGATAAGACCTTTCTTCCAACGAGCTTAAGGTGGCATGAACATTTCTTCTCCTTCCTAATAGGGGATGGAGTTTTTGGTCACCTCTGTGAGCTAGGTTAGGGTGAGAGATAGGGACTGGCTCAAGATCATTCTGGTGTGCATGCTCAGGAACAGGCAGCTGCCAAGGATATTCCAAGCAGGCACCTGGGGGTTGAGTTTTGTGGCATGAAGGGCAAGAGTTTACTTGCCCTTCATGCCTTCAGTCTACACATGGCAGAGAAATATCTGCACATCTGTATTGTCAGACCAATTCCAATTTCTCTCCATTTTTAGTCTCTGCAGCTATCTTTGCATGAACTCCAGATGAATACTAATCAATCACTGTGCATGAGCACAAAATTGCTTAAATAAAAATCTCAATATTAAAATGGATATTTATATAGTTCTTTAAAAATTAGCATTTAGAAGCTATAAACAGCCATACCATTAAACACCCTCGACTGGTTCAAAGGATTTAAAACCATGTCTTTAAATTGCTGTATAACGTTAATTTGACAGTCTACATGATTTCTGCACTTAAAGAAAAAATCCCCAGTTCTTTGCCAAGGTACCCCAAACTCTGGGTGTCTGAATTATGTGCATAATAAGTATGACTTGACTAATCATTTTTCTTTGTTCTCTATTCCTCTTGTGGACTACAGTCTCTGAACAGAGAACACTTGGGCCTCTATTGATAGATGTAACCAGAATTGCCCCCAAGCTACACACTTGCTTCTTCAGAGGCATGCAATCCTATACAGAATACCCAATTCGCCAATTCGCCAATTCGCCAAACATGGGAACCACCCACCCAAACGGCCTCCACCGCTCTGCCATGACTTTCTCCATCAAGAAGAGGGTATTCACAACTGGGTGATAGTTATTCAAGGATACTCTCTCCTTCAGTCTTCATCTCCAACAAAGCCAGGGGGTTCCTGTCTGGACCCCTGGATATGGTCTTGGCCTTCAACAGATGCCCAACCTCGCCAGTTCTTGATGCCGGTCTTGTCCACAGTGCTACTAATTAATTCAAGAATCATCTGTATTTAATATTAATTACACTGCATGGCTATTAATTTGCATTGTGCAGTAATACTCTAGAGTAGCCCTCTGTAGGCCGTTGCCAGAGCACGCTTATTCTCCTTGACTTTACTGGAATCCAAGGACTTTGCTCTGTAAATGTCCAATAGTTTCTCTGACATCTGCAGGGCTCTGGCTTGTTATTTACACTTAATGAATACACATGAGCCAAGCATCATGAGGCCTGATTGTGAGCTTCTTGTGTTTTTTCTGGAGATGGCCGGAGTTATGAAAGGGAAAGCTGGAACTGTTTCTTGCCTTATGATAGGACTCACACATCTGCTTAGGTAACCACTAGAGGGGTTCAGAAACATTTGGCAATGGTCCCCCAATGAGAAGGAACCCCCTGTGATTATTGACTGAATAGATTTTCTCATTTAAAACTGGCAAATTTCAGATTGCTCTGAATATGCATGGGAAAGTCCTAATGGCAAATACACAAGCACAGAGCCAGGCCATTTTTAAGAACACCTAAAATGCAAAGATCCCATCTTAGGAATAAATTCACTCACAAGACAGATGTAACCATAAAAACGTAAGAATGTCGTCACACTGCAGTTCACGTGGCTGCTGACAAACAAGGAGGAGGGAATTGGAGAAAGAGGCAGCTGAGGGGAACAGCTGAGACTGGTGAGTGAGCAGACAGGTGGAGAGTGACTAGAGAGGCAGGTGGACAGAGAGCTGAAGCTTGTGAGTGAGCAGGCAGGTGAGTAAGACTGGTGAGAAGAGTGGGTAACCCAGGCCACTGAGTGGAGCATTGGTGGGCTATGAGGAAAAAGGCAGGTGAGCAGCAAGGAGGAAGGGGAATTGGGCAAGGTATAAGAGGAAGAAGGGGATTGGACAGGGGGTGGGGTTTGGCAGATGACAGGTAGGTGGGTTGATGAGTGAAGCACACAGGGGCAACAGCCCCTAGTGTATATATAAAGTGGTTCATAAAAACATATCGACTTGGAGGCTTTCTACACCTCAGCCTTATAGATATGAACACTATGTTGTATTCCAATAGTGAAGAGATAATAGATTGGAAAGTGTTGAGGAGATTCGTTAACATCTGAAGGCCTGCTGTAGGGTTCACTGAAAGTGAAACTTCAAATAATGTACCATTTTATGCACACTATTTGTGGTTGTTTTCTCATGATAAATAGCGATTTCAGTCATGCAGATCAGGGACGTTTGCCTGCTTGGGCTCAAGGAAAGGTTGTTGGGAAAAGGATCTGCCCCTTCGTCTATTTATTTGTTTGTTACAGAAATCACTCTGTCCCATGAAGGTGATGACCTTGGCACTCTTGGTGTAATATATTTCACTGGGCTGTTGTAAAAAAAGGAAAGGAAGGGCATTTGTAGGAGAACAAAAAAGTAAAACAGTGTGTTCTAAACAAATATAGACGGGGGGTGTGTGTGTGTGTGTGGTGTACAATTCTGCCTTGCGCTCTCTAAAAAGAGCCCCTATCCATAGATCTTCAGAGATGAAGCAATGTCCTAAGTTAAGGCCTCCATTTTTTCCTTCCTCTCAGATCCGCCACCATTCGAAAGGCTCTGCAATAAAAGTGATGTCAACATATGCAATCCTGGTTGGGCCAAAAACTCCCATAAAGACATAAGAAGAGCCCTGCTGGATCAGATGATTGGCCTACCTAGTCCAGCGTCCTGTTCCCCACAGTGGATAGCCAAATGACTCTGGGAAGCCCACAAGAAGAATATAGGTGCCTTCGCCTTCTCTTGTTGCTGTTTCCCAACAACTGGTGTTCAGTGGCAGGGTTTTTATTTTTATTTTGGAGGTAGTATATAGACACCATAACTAGTAACCTTATACTTCATGAATCTGTACATCGTGCAGAAATGTTTAGCCAGCTTAAACTCTGAAGAGCAGTTGACCCAAAGTAGATTATGCGATAAGTCATGCTGAATGAGCTATCTGGGCCGATGAAAGGCGGCTCATAAGGTAAGAATGTTTTAGAATTCTGGGTAATAGAGGGTGCTGATTGGGAAATGATGAGGTGGTGAGTATTCCAATAATAAGTCAATTTTCTCTGTGGCTTCTGAATTCCTTCTGAAGGACTTATTAGGTAATCAACCCGGCAGGAGACTTCACTGCTGCTTACAAGTTCCATTTATGCGCATATCCTCCAGCTGTTGAGCTTGTCTTGCGTCCGCTGTGCTTGAAACAGGTTTCTGCTTTAGCGATACCAGCTCAGCAGTTGGTGCAAGTCAAAGGAAAGCCACTCAGTGGCAGCTGCGAAGGGCGACCCAACAGCCCAGAACTAACCTGCTATGAGCTGCAGAGCCCAGTGATCCAGAAAAGTGCTGTCATTTCAAGAATAAATGCAGAGTCTGGGGACCCTGAGCAGAGGCACTGCCTGCTTTTCCTTATGGGGGCAAACAATGTTATAGCATCATAAAGGCCTCTTCGTATGTAATAGATGTACTTGCCCCGCTGTGGGAACAAAGCAGGGAAACTTTCCTATTTGTCCTTAGACAACTTTGTCACAATTTAAGTCTCACTCTGAATTTTCAAAGGCATCTCATTTAAGTGTCTAGCAGATGCAAGATGGGAGCTGAGGCAAATGTGAGCATCATCACAAAGGGTGTTGTCAGGGAACTGCCATCAGTGCCGGAGGGAGAGAGCAAAATCCAGAGGGATTCCAGAGAGCGTCCTGGGATTGGGAGAGGCAGCCCATCTTCTGGGGAAGAGAATCAGCGTAGCACCAGTGGAGAAGGGGGGCAGATGGGGGAAGCGGCAAGGCGGTCCCATGACTCCTTGCCGGGGACCAGCGGGGAGAGTAGAGGTCCTCCGCTGCCTATGCCCTCCTTGCGCAGAAGGCTTTCACGCAGAGAGAGTAGGAGGAGACTAGGCGTCAAAGAGCTTCTTTGCTGGAAGAAGTTTAAGAAATGCCCACTGACGGATTCTGCCAGCGATTGAGACAGCCACAGGTGAGTGGCTGTCCAGACAGAAAAGGTTCACTCAGGCAACTCAGCCAGGTGTTTGCACCGGCTTACGCACAAGCAACCCCTAGAACCACTACAGGTGTCTATATAGCCTCCAATTACACCATAGGAAGAAACCACAGATTTGGTGATGGAAATTGTACCTCATTTAAAGCCAATGTGCCCCACTGCTTTTCACATTCACCCTGGTGATAGGTTGTTTCCCTCTTCTTCCAAGCAGCAGCATGTTCTGGAAGAAGCTTTGTGGGATACATTGTGAAAAGAGAGGCCTGTGGAACTCTTCATGATATCTGTTTACAGTACTCATAAATATATCACTTGTCATGCTTTCAACATCAAGTGATTATCTTGCCATCAAATGATTATTATTTGGAACCAATCAGGCTTGATAGGAAAACGCAACTTCTCATTTGGAACGAATCAAGCTTGATATAATAATGCAATATGAGTCTGTATGAGTCATTTGCAGCAGGGTCACTACCTAATCAATCATGTGATAATAGGGGATGCTTGAGCATTTTGCTCCTTTGCTAATTCTGATATGAACTGAGCTGATCCACACTTCCTGGGTTAATGTACACAGTGCTTTTTTCCTGGGGGGACGCAGGGGTACGCATACCCCTAAACATTTTGTGAATCTAAGTTTGGCCTCATTGAGGGGCATTATTTCAATGTGAGTAGGAAAATGAGAGATCCCCTAAACATTATTATTATTTTTAGGAAAAAAACACTGAATGTACAAATTGGAACCTGTTTATCCACCCACTTTTGAACTTCCTAAATGTGTATACATGGTTGTGCACATATTGAACATGCAGAAACAGGTGGCTGCCTATACTTTTGAAAACAACAGCAACACAACAATGAATTTTCCCCAAGGCTGTTTCTTATCAGTCACATTCAAAACTTAGCATTTCTCCCAGTCCATAAAATTTCAAAATGCCCTTTCAATACAAAGTCCGATCCTGGTTGTCACAATCACAGAAGTACTAAAACCTCAAACACTGTATTGTAATGTATTTTTTTTTTTGCTTATGCCGATGTTCTTAAATGTGTTGTATGTGATTTGTGCTGTATTTGTGATGTTCTCTTATGTTCTATCATGTTGCTGCTATTTATTGTTTGTAAGCCACTTTGGGATTCATTTGAATGAAAAGCAACATAGAAACAGAATAAATCAAAACCAAACTTTACTATAAGAGAGTCTTTTCATAATGAAATCTGTGCCAGTGGCATCCTCACTTTCTCCTTACTCCTGTTAATATAAACTAAGAATAGGAACCAAATGCACATAAAACTGTATATTCGCTTTGAAGAAGCCCCAAGCTTTCAGGTATGCCAACAGGATTTCCTGGGTCCAGTACCCTAAGAACATAAGAAGAGCCTTATGTTCAGCTCTGAGGGCCTTCTGGTGGTTCCCTCACTGCAAGAAGTTAAGCTACAGGGTAGCAGGCAGAGGGCCTTCTCAGTAGGGGTGCCCGCCCTGTGGAATGCCCTCCCATAAGATGTCAAGGAAATAAACACTATCTGACTTTTATAAGACATCTGAAGGCAGCTCTGTATAGGGAAGTTTTTAATGTATGATGTTCTATCGCTTATTCTTGTTCTGTTGGAAGACACCCAGAGTGGCTGGGGAAATGCAGCCAGATGGGCAGGGTATAAATAAAAAATAATTGTTGTTGTTGTATAAGTGGATGGAGCCCCCTGCATCATCGTCATCCCTCCCCTCAGTCTGTAAGCAAGCACCTCTGCTTCTGTACATATATTAAGTTATCCTAGCCTATCTCAAGGGCTGTTGCAAAGGTTGGGAAAAGGAGGGAGGAGAGCAAAATGCAGGCAACTGTGAGCTCCTGGGAGGAAAAGCAAGGTAGTAAAATATATTCCCATTTACAGATCATGTGAAGAAAAATAGAGATGCACAGAGCCCCAAAAACAGCCCTCCCTTGCTTAATCGTCAGTGTTTTGTAGTCCTGATATTTACAGCAAAATCACACCCACCCACCCCCCACAAAACCCCCACAACAATCTGGAAGGATCTCCTCCTGGAGTTGCATGTGCCTCCTTCGTTGCTGGGATTTAGATGTCAGCTAAAGACGTTTCTGTTTGCTCAGGACTTTTTCAGTCTGATATGGTAATGTTTGCCCTGATCAGCAGTGTGTGGATTTGTATTTTTAATGACTGTTACTTTATGAATATTTCAGTTTTGCATTTGTTTTAATCACCGATGCAATTGGGTTTTTTTATCCTTTGTTATACATTGGGCTGGACTTTTTTTTTGAGCAAGGGCAATTCATAAATGCAGTAAACAACAACAACAGTTAATATCACCATTTAAATGTGGAACTAATTGGGTAACTTTGGGTCACTTGTTGCCACCAGGTCTAACCTACCTCACTTGTTTGTCGTCAGGATGAAATTGAAGTCCCCTATATGCACATAGGGAGTCACCTCTTGTGCCGTCCCCTGTCCCCAATTTAATCAGACTATTTGTCAATATGGAGCAGAGGTGTCTGCTCTGGCTGCAGCTCTCCAGGGTTCCAGCTCATTCCCACACTTATTACTTGAAATCCTTTGGAACAATCCAGATGCATTTTGTGATAATGCAAATCATGTGTTCTTCCAGTGAGCTATGGTACCTCTTCAGTCTTCTGGAAGAAGCCTGAGACAATACAGGCCACAACCAATTTACATGTGTCCGATTGGTGTGTGATTGTGCACAAGCACATGGCTTCAAACTCAGAAATGACCCTTAAATGTCACTAAAATGTCACTGGAGTGTGCCGGAAACCTACTGCTAACTTGGCAAATGCAGAAGCCTGAATGGTTATATTTTGAACTCCATTCTCTTGCCCCACTCTCTAGGTGGCTACAAGCTTCCCTGTTTACCTACTTCATTAAATCCCCATATCAGCATGATTCCTGGAACCCCCTGGGTTTGCAAAGAGTTTGCTGACGCTGAAGTGACTTCAGCTGTTGTCTCCAGTCCTAGTTACATAGCCACACTACTGATTTATAAACTAATTACGCAAGCGGACTGCCTCCTGGGTCACTGCTGGTATTCATTCTGAACGTGTTCCAGCTTTGAAATATTTAGACAGCTGTCCAGAATAGGTACATTTCTTGGCCTCTAAATGTTAACTGTGCACGACTGCCAAGGAAATCTCACCTGTGGCAAATGTATCCCAAAGCCAAAGTTGCACATTTATAGGAGAAGATGGAGCCATTATTCATGCTTATGAGGGGATTTTTGCCCAACTCAGGTCTGAAAATCTAAATGTGTTGTGGAATGATTCGTGCTTGCATGTTCGCTGCCTTATAAGTGAAGCATCAGATGGTGACTTGCATGTGTGAATGAGCCACTGCATATCAAACACCACAGAGAGAACATTTAGATAATATCTGACGGAAGCAAGCCAGTTCAACTGGATATCATCATCAACTAGTTCCTTTCTTATTATGTATACAATAATTTGCACCCAGTTCTGTATATTCCGTTCCTAATTCCTGTTGTGTTTGATGCCCCCCCTGCCCCCCTTGGCTCAACCCCATTCCTCTCTCCCTTTACACGTTACTCAACCTACCCACCCCCTCCCTTTACACCTCAGCAGCTCTACCCCACCACCAACCCCCACACTCCCTTTAACCTGGCCATCCTTATAGCTTGTCCGGACTACATCTCCCCAGCAAATGTCATGCTCTGTTGCAACTTTTCTGTTCCTCAGTCTCCAGTGCTGCTGAAATTGAAGCACTGATTTGAGGTGGGCAGTAGAAGCAGAACAGGCCAGTTGCTGTGAGCTGGCCTGGCCTGGCCTGGCTGTTCCTCTGCAGCTCACTTGGGCTGCCTGCTACTTGCCTGCTTGGACAATCTACCTGCTGTTCTGTTGTCATGTTGCAGTGACATAGCCACCAATCAGTATCACACAGACTGAAGCGTGATGACATTCTTACATTTTATTATATAGTTATCCTGTGAACTGCCCTGTGATCTTGTGATGAAGCACAGCATAGAAACCTAATAAAAAAATAAATAGTAAATAAAATGAACAACCTCACTAAGAACATGAAGCAGAACTATTCCCTTAGTTCCGCTGAAAGACAATTTCCATCCTTCAGGTGTCACCTGGTAGCAATCATTCTATCTGCAACACAGGGAGACATGGCAAGCAGTGCCTACTTCACTAGCTTCTCATCCTTCTGAACTAGACCACAATTTACTTTACTCTGTGCTGAATTATGACCCTTTGGTCCACTTTTAAAACAGCTGTGGTTCTTTATGCCCTACCCGGTTTGGGGAATTTGTGTGAAAAATGTCATCCTGACATAGCTTTGAATCGTTGTGGCTGCCAACCGACATGGTGTTGACATGAATTCTGCAGTTAGTTGAAGCACCCCAATTTGACAGTTGTGCAGAATGAAATTTGCACAATAACCTGACGACTTTCAGTTGCTTTGTTTGAAAGGATTTGCATTGGCCCTAAGAAAGAACCTAACTTAGCTGAGAAGGGTGCAATATTCAGGTCTGCGGGATGTTCCGTAGAAAGCAGTCAGAAGTAAACTGAAAATCCAGGAGTATGAAAATGTGCTAGTATTATTGAACAGGATATCTTCCAATTAGACTAAGACATTGTGAAGTTTGAATCAATTCTTCAAGTTGGCAGAACGACCCCACACTATCTGCATGCTTTATTTTGGAATTCAAAACTTGTTAAATGGGAGCATTTTCCTTTCAGAAAGAACATATGCTATGTCCTCATGGAGTCCAATTACTGTACATGCTGGAAAGGATGCCAAACCCAAGGTCTTTTTGGCAAAGCCATGCTGCATACAGTCAGCATTTATCTCATTTAATCCCAGCAGGTGCTAAAATTGCCTTAAAGAGTGGCAGACTGCAAGTTATCACACTACACATGCAGCCTTCAGACTCCCTCAAATGTTATTGACCTCTGACCAGTGTAACTTTTCAAGTCTGTTTCCATGGACTGTATAACTGTTGCTGCTCCATGTATAAACATGTAGGCTTGGTTCAGATATTGTCCCACCTCCAGTGATATCCTGTGCATGGTTCTCCCCAGGGTGCCAGGCTAAACATGGATTATTCTAAGATCTGGTCCTGGTCATTACCATGCAAAGATATTACTGCAAGGAGTAATGCTAAAAGTAAATTCTAGAGGTGCCACTGAGTTTTGCCAGTTGTCCTTTTTTATTCTGCATTCATTAAAAAAAAAAAAATCCATAACAACATAACATGAGGCAATACATAATTATACAAAAGAACTTTAAAATAACCAGAACAATACAGTGCACAGCAGTTTACTACATGTTGGGAAAATTTATGAGCACGCTAAATGCATCCATTTAGCAACGACCATCAAGGACTGCTTAGCCAGGGTAGTCTTGGTAATAAATCTAACCAGCGGGTGGGGGAATTCTGGAGAAATTGTGGTTTTATTACAGCTCTCCGACTGGTCACACAATACAAGAAGGGGTCCCATGCAAACTTATCTCTCTCGTTTTGGCCCCTCATTACTTTCCATAAGTTTTTTAGCTACAGCAGAAGTTTGGGCTTTGGACCACCATCCCAGTTATGAGAACTGTGTGAAACACTTCCCTTGATGGGCTATCTTGAGTTTGGCAACAGCTCTCAAGCACAAGATTAAGTCCATGTGCAATAAGCCTTTCAGGTTTTCCAGAAACATCGAGCGAAAGGCTAGACCATTTATTGTGCATTCCTCATGATTTGTACTCACAATGCTATCAGGGCCGTTATACATTATTGCACACTCAACACCATTTGCACCTGTAAAAGTTCCAGGGCAGTTATATTTCTTTGGCTGCAATTGGTGAATGTCCCATAGCTTCTTGTTGAAACTCCATCCATAACTTTTTATACAATGTTTCCGTTCTTTTCTTACTCCTGCTTTTAATGTGCTAAAGTGCAAGAATGCACTTCCTGTGAATGCTGGATATCA